TGATAACTTTTAATGTAAAATTATAAAAATCTGATTATTAGCTTAAAAAATCAGAAATTGTAGGTTTTATTAAGTTCTTTATACTTTTTGAATGATGTTTACAAACATTTGGTTTACAATTTTTTTGAGCTTAATTTTTTTGCTTTACTTTTATATAAGCAATAAGTTTCAAAGCTTTTTTTTTGAAATTAATGCCGAAAAAAATTGAAAACATTCAAATTTTCCAAAAAAAAACAACATATATCAGCCTGTTGGAAGTGCGTCGGGCCAACTTCGAATTTCGAGCTGAAACTTTGCCAGTTTAAAGACCCTTTTGCGACACTTTTCGACATCTAATTACTTTTTTTCGAAACCCTTTAGTTTTTGAGATATCGAAGCTTCAATTTTAGGCAAAAATCCCGACCAACTTCACGTTTCTAGTCGGGCCAATTTCTGAAAAATAATTTTATTAAACATGTTATATATCAAAATTAAAGTTCTTTTTACGACAATTTTCGACACGCAAACCGTTTTTAAATCTGATCATTTCTTGCTGAGGTATAGGCTATCAAAGTTTTGCCTGCTGTTTCCATGCACCAAAAAAATCAAGTTTTACTAAAATTGTCAATTTGTTACAAACCTTTTATCAAAATGCATCTCCTTTTCATGACGTATCCAAATACTCGAAAATATTTTCAATTCAGTTATTATCAGTCGACTTATAGCATGTCAAGTGACCAGTCATGGATCCGATCTCAAAGGATTTTTTTTTCAAATTTTCTCAAAAAACTTTTATTTTATCTTTTTTTTGAACTTTCTGATATTTGTTTGAATTAAAAATATAAGTTTCAGAGATTGTTGAGAAAGTGATATCAATTTTGAGATTCAAATTTCAAAAACTCTTTCCAAGATTTTCTCATGAAGCTACACTTGTGAAAAAATAATTTTTTGAATTTGAATCCTTTGAGATTTGATACTCCCACTACACTTCAAGTTCCTGATTGGTTTCTTAATCCAATTTTGCCCAAATAACCAATTATTTCTTGAAATCGCACATTAAGCAGTCGAAGTATCTAAACTATAAGGTTACAGTCTTGGATAGTTTTGGAACTTCCACTTCGCTTCAGTTGCTGCTGCTTACAGTCTCAATAGTGTTGAAAACTATCAAACTTTTGCCACAGAAAACAACTTTTTAAAAATATATCATGATTAAGTTTGAAGCCTATTAAGGTCATACAAGCTCCACATAGGAAGATGGCTACAGTAAGGAAGTAAGTAAAAGGCAATACAAGCATTCAGATTATTACGATGCCAAAATAACATCAGCTTGGTGCCGCATTTCTATTAGATTATCTCGTTCTTTGGGTAAGATGCTGTTAATTTTTAATCATGTCTGGAACTCAACACAAGAATCCAGTAAATGTTTACACTTGTCTGGAATAAAAACTTCAGATCGAGCAAAGTTTTAGTCGTGTCTGGATCAAACTGCATAAATATCAATTTAATACCAACAAACAAACGTACACTAGACGTAAACAATTCATCAAATGCATCCGGGATTTCACATTTTTATGTTTATTTGCTCAAAGATTTTTTTTTTGGGAGTTTCCACACCTTGATCGATTAAATTAAATTGCAATTCTCTTTAAATAAAATACCTAATGCTTGTGTTTTTGTTGTGGAATTAAATTATGTTTCAAATATTTATTAGGGGCCGTTCACTTATGACGTCCAGGGGGGGGGGGGGGGGGGGGGGGGGGGTCAGCAAGAAAAAGAAAATAGAAATTCCTGGAAATCCACTGTTCTCTTTTGAAAAATGACCGTTATTTCGGACGTCATAAGTGAACGATCCCTTAGGAATATTGTTGGAGTTCCTTATGATGATAAAATTGCTAACACAAAGGCTACTCTTCAGCATACATACATGAAATTGAATATTACTTATCAAAAAAGAAGTGAACTTGCTTTTGTGGGATCATTCTGTACCTTTTTGATTCCCATATTTCTAAATGCCGCAACTTATTAATGACCATTATTCCATTCTCACATAAATTTCGATTCCCACACTATAGTAGCTTGAGTAGATCCGTTTTAAAATGATTTAAATTGTAATCGTAGAAAAAAAAATTTTTATTAATTTTTCATGTCATGTGAAAACAATTTCAATACATATCAAGTCCTTCAATTTTAATAGTTATCTCCTTTTTCTGTCTGCGAAAGACTCCGTTGCTGACTTTTGGTGGAATAAAATCAAATGCAGGCCTTACACATTGTCCACCATTATCACCCTCAGCACATTCATTAATGGCTTCATTGAACCACCATCCTTCAGCACATTCGCCATCATCAATTTGTGTTCCTTCAAAGCAGAAGATGTATGACCAACAATTTGCTCCTGGGAAAAATCCAGTCTCTAATGGTGGACATTCTGGCGTGATGATTGGATCAGCGCATGGTGCATTACGGACGTGATCGCAAGATCCAGTGTTGCGGTTGAAAACAAGATCTCCAGGGCATGTAATCCAATTCATACCTGGTAAGGTGCATGCACGGTATTGTTTACAGGTTGGATCTGCTGGGTTTGCAACCTGATTGAAAAAAAGTTTTTGTTTTGATTGAAAAATAAACTTTTAAAGAAACACAATTATTTACCATAAGACTAGCAGTAGGGCAGAAAGAAGATGGAGCATTGCATAGATCATTCTCAAGGACACAAGAACCAGTGCCTGGTAAGGTGGGATCAAATAGATAATACATAGAACCTTGATTTCTACAGTCGACTTGATGAACAGCAATTAATTGTGTTGGAATTGTTTCATTCCATTGACAGTATAAATAGCCATGGCAACTTGATGGATCAGGTACATGGGCAAGGGTTCCTTCAGTTCCACATAAAGGTTGAGTCAATTGTGCTTGTTGAAGTGATAAATGTGAGGAAAATGTGACCAATAGAAGGACTGAAGTTACTAGATGTTTAAAATGAAAATCAAATTTTATTAAATTTTTGGATTTTTTTTGTTTTCAATTTAAAAAAAATGTTAAAGGTTTTTTTTTAAATTTTTTTTTATTTTCTTTGGTTTTTTTAACTTCCTTTTATTTTTTAATATTTTTTTAAATTTTTATAATTTTTTTGAATTTTCTTTTATTTTTTTAATTTTTTTTGAATTTTTTTTTGCTTTTTTTGAATTATTTTTTAAGTAATAAAAATTGTCAAAATTAATTAAGATAATATTAAAGCATAAAAAATATAAACACACATTTAAACATCTTCTTGAACCTTATTCGATTTTTAAATACGACACTTTAGAATTAAATTTCAACTTTCAGCAACTTTTCACGTTAAAAACTCGCCAAAAACTAAATTAAAATCAACTGAAACGCAAAAATATCGCCACACATGCCATTTATATCAATGATTTCCTTATCATTTTGCCACTTGTAAGTAGTCGACACGACAATAAATCTTTTGGTATCAAACAAGAATTTCTCATTTTTGATAGCGATCCTGCCGATTGTGATTTTCCAATTTTTTTATGAGGAAGTTTTTAACATTTTTTTGTGCGTGCAATTTTTAAACTTATTTTTGTAGGAAGTTTGACTTCCGAAACATTTGTTTTGATAAGAATTGTTGATGGTTTTCTTTATATTTCAAAAAAAACACGTGTTAATGCCAAATTTTTCTTGGGAAATTCAATGAACTTTTAGCAAATTTGATCCTAAATGGGTTTTGTTGACATGGTGCTGACTTGTTTTTAGTATGGTGTTAAATTTACAACTGTCTAGGCAGTCCAACTGCGTAATTCTCAGCGGGACATTCTGTTTTTTTAAACAAAGTCCCGCCTAAAATCCTTAATGTCCCCCTTTTTTTAAAAATGGCTGTAGATTAAGTGTGTTCCGTTTTTTAGAGTTGAAATCAAAACAAGTCCCGCTTTTTAACCGGAATGGACAGCCTACATATAATATGGTTGCAATGTCAGTTTAAAACATCTGTCAACCTTTTGCCAACCTCTTTAAAATTCTTTTTGTTACTCGTAATCGGATTGTCTGCTGGTTTTGAGAATATATTAGTGACTTATCATCCTTCGGTTTACATAATGTTTTAAAGGCTCAGATTTATGAGTTGCGATTGCATATCTTTTGTACTATACCCTATAAACCTTGAGTTTTCAGTGGAATCTCAACCAATTGTCTATGTAGAACTAAACTTAACATAATTTAGCATTAATTGGATTTACATAACCTATAATTTCAACATTTGACTTGTTTGGCATCATGTGTGGTTGAGAATAAGTCCATGGTGTACTAGCATTTACAAATGGGTTTAAATATTTGTTATCCTGTTACAAAAAGTATTGTCGATGTCACAAGGGTTTGTACTATGGTCACGACATTTTAACTTTGTGCCGATGTTGCTCAATTCGAATGATTTAAGTTACAAGCAGCTGAAATATGAAAAACTTATGAATAAAAATAATAATCAAACGACAAATAAGTGCTATGAATTGCAGCTATCTTAAATTGCTATTTTAGTACCTTTTTATCGTTTGCAATTTTTTTAATTATCAGCAGTCTTAGATTATCAACTTTTGTGGAATTAAATAGAGGTTATTTATAATTTTTTTTGTTCCAAAGATCTTGTGCATTAGCTTGCTCTTGAAAATACTTTTAAAGCTACGCACATGAAGCATATTTTTACACATTGAGCGTCAGCGCATTTATCGTGACACTCTTGCGAAAAAACCGACAAATTTCACGTGCTGTTTTTGTCATGGCTGTGCAGTGGTAAATCTAAGTTATAAGCATAACCTTTGTTTTTTAATCAAAGCTAGTATGTAATGGATTATGACAGTGATGCGATTATTGAATACCAAGGACTGCGCCATATCCAGGAATTGTGTCGCCATCTTCATTGAACCAAATATTGAAAATTTAAAAGGTTGAAGTAAGTTCAAATTTGTCACAAAAACTGAAATTATTATTTAAATAATAAAAACTAATTTATTAATTTTAAATTTTTTTTGAAATATCTTTTGTGCCATAATCCAGGAAAGCATTAAAATTTTCCTAAAAATTTATTTAAAAATTTTACAAAGTATTCGTCATTAAATTTGCATATTAGTTGAGATGTACAGCTCTCAAAAATCTATAAAATCCAGAAAGTGCGTTGACTGTCTTAACTCTTTGAATTTCAAATGTACGTATGCATGCTGGTGGATCAGAATCTGGAATACATTGTCGCTCAGTTTGATCGAATAACAATCCAGTTCCACAATTAAATCTTCCAGTAATTGCACCATTTTCACACAAGATAAAGCTATAGCATGTCTCGCCTGGGTAGTTACCATTAGCACCTACTGGACATCCAGCTGGTGCAGATCCAAATGGATTGCATGGTGCCCTGTCTGCAAAGTCACATGTTCCTGTATTACGATTAAACACGAGTGGTTCACGACATGAACTGAATGGTGATGATACTGAGCGGCATGGACGATGTTCGCGGCAAGTTGCATCATCTGGATTTGCGATCTGAAAATAATTCATGATTGATGGGCCACAAAACTAGTAAATTATCTCATAACTCACCATGATTTCATCTGTACCAGCAGGTGGGCACATTGATGTTGCTGAACATTCAGGGAAACTGTCTGTACACACTCCTGAAGTTCCAGTTGGATCTGGTCGGAAGAATGTTGATCCTTGAGCACGACAATCGAGTTGATGAACTGATGTTAAGGTTGGTGGAGTTACTGTCCTATCCCAGTTGCACCATAAGTAGGCATTACAGCTGGATGGATCATCAACCCAAATTCTTGTTCCGTCAGTTCCACAAAGGTTTTGTTGTTGTTGTGACAAGTGTGCTGAGATGAGGGTTATGGCAAGTACAAGAAATGCTGGAATGTTAGAAAAATGAAATTTGAATTTAAAATTAAAAAAAAAACAATTAAAAGTTTTAAATCTACAAAAATTCAAAATAATTTAAAATAATTTAAAATAATTTAAAAACATCATTTAAAATAATTTAAAATAATTTGAAATAATTTGAAATAATTAAAAATTATCTAAAATAATTTAAAATAATATAAAATAATTTGAAAAAGTTTAAAATAATTTAAGATAATTTAAAATAATTTACAAATTAAAAACTGAAATTTCAAAATAATTTAAATTTAAAAAAATTGAATTTAAGAAAAATTAAATTGTAAGAAAGTTAAATTTCTTAAAAAAGCAAAATTTTGAAATATTAAAATGTTTACAAAAAATAAAATTTTAAAAATAATTTAAATTTAAAAAAATCGAAAGTTAAAATAAAGAAATTGAAAAATCAATTTCAAACCCAAAAGTTTAAAACATAAACCTTAAAATTTATTACTAAAGTTAATTTAATTCCTTAACTTACACCTGTGAACCATTTTTATTCGATTTAAGTTCAACAAATTTTTTAAACAATAATTTTTTGCAGCTATCGACCGCAAGAAACTGCGTGAAAATCAAACTGAAATTAAAAATGAAGTTCGCACATTATATTCTCAATGAAAAAAAAAAGTTTTCTTTATCTTAACGGAACTTTATTGGGTTTTGGTACTTAACAAGTCCACTGATAAATTTTTTATCAACATTTTCAATTATTTGATAATATTTTTTTTACCAACCGTGACCTTCTCCATGTTGTGAATTATTTACAAATATTTTAGTTTTTTTTTATCAATTCGAAGATCTTTTCAGGGACATTTGGAGATTCTTTACAGAAAATGATGTCCAGGAGGTTGTTCAGCTAGCGTTTAAAAGCTTCTGATAATTTTTCAACTTTACCTAATGTTACTAATATTTATTATTTTCTTGTAGCTAGTCAATTTTTGATAAAAGCAAATGATTTTTGATCAAAAAGAGAAAAATATCTCAATTTGAAGGATTTAAAGGTTTGACAATTAAAGTTTTAAGGAGGAAAATTCTTAAAAAATCAAAGATTCTTAGTAAAAAATGCAAAAAACAAATTTAAACATATCAGAACATTTAAAGTTGCTTCAAATTGGCAGTAATTACTTGTTTTTCTGAGTCATATAACCTCAAATTTCTTGCAAAAACCTTTGTTCTAAGAAAATAAAAATGATGCAAATTTTAATTTTTAATTTCATGAATGTAAAAGCTCATTAATATTGCACAAAGTTGTTTATTGTATTTGATTATTGACGAATAATTAAACTGGCTTTTATCATAATTAAGCATGTAAATTTATTGACAAGCTGCAATATGGATGAAACATGTTTAATAAGGTATAAAAATATAAATTAAAAATAATATTAAATGAAAGCTTAAAAGTGCACTTTTTAAAATAAATTTCATTATTTTTGTCATTTAAATTTCAACTTAAAAAGATTTTTTTTTAAATTTTATATGAACTAGTGTATCGGGTAGAAACCCAATGCGGATATATTCACACCGTACCATCAAAAGTCCAAGATTTGCTCAGCATAAGTTTGAAGGGTGGGCGTGAAGTACGACCGAGACCCATATCGACACAGTTCAAAAGTTATACCTAATTTATGTCATAATTATGTCAGCTACAAAAACACTTAGTTTGAATTTTGCCACCCTCGAGAACACTATGAACCAGTATAGCTGATTTTGGTTTAAATCTCGGCCATACTTCACACTTATTTGAACCACATTTTCTCGTAAATGTTAAAATATTATTAAAGAGTAATTAATCCTGAATTATGTCGCTATTTGTGAAGTGTTTTAAGATAAAGAATTTGTTTTTTGGTTTCCACAGTGAAGAGTATGAACAAAATTCAGATGGGGTAGTCGAAATTTTAGATTTCGATTTTTTTAAGCTATGCATTACAAAAAGTAATGTTAGTATGTGATTTATGTTAGAACTATGTCAATTCAAATAGAACATCCAAAAAATTTTTTTGACAAAAGTACACCATAGAAAATCAATTTTCAATTTTGGACTAGGGGCGACCCTAGTCAAAATCAATTTTGTCACTTTTTTCTTCGAGGATTTATACAAATGGATTGAAACTTTGTATAAATATTCTAGTGCTTAAAACAAATACAAATAAAACATCTTAAAATTTTTTTGGAGCAAAGAACCAAGTAGGAAATACTTACTAACTTACTTACTTACTTCGTTGACCGTCAAGATCAATTGTGATCCACTACCTCCCTCAAATGTCGCCGGAAGCTGGCTCTATCGCTGGCTACCGCTTGCCAATTTCCTATACCAAATGCAATGCTGTCTCTATCAACAGTTTCCTTCCACGAGTTCTTTGGTCTTCCACGTGCTCGCTTGCCATCTACAAAGTCAGACTTAAAAACCTTCACTAATGGAGCTTTCACAGGTCTCCTTAATACATGTCCTGCCCATCGGAGCCTGTTAACTTTGATTCGTTTTACGATATCAGCTTCTGTGAAGAGCTGATACAACTCTGCGTTGCTCCTGCACTTGAAAAGATCTTCTTCCTTACCAAGTAGGAAATACATTTTCAATTATGAACTTGGGACAGGTCCAGTCAAAATCTAGTTTTTCACTTTTTTCTTCGAGGATAAATCCAAATACAGTAAAACTTTGTATGAGCATTCTAATCTTTAGGTCACACATTTCTGAATTAATAAAAATCATTTTTTTGGACAAATTTTTAAGTCACGTTGTTTTTGAATGTACAACCAAATTTATAAAATTTGGGTCTGAAGACTTATAGAATACATTTCTTGCTTTAGATATTTAAAACTGATTTGTATAAATTTTAGTATACTCACACAAAGTTTCACTGTAATTGGATAAACCTTCGAAGAAAAAAAGTGACAAAATTGATTTTGACTAGGGTCGCCCCTAGTCCAAAATTGAAAATGTATTTCCTACTTGGTTCTTTGCTCAAAAAAATTTTTTTCATCCAAAGTTTAATTTAAAATAAAATAAAAATCACAGTGAACTTTTAATTTGAAAAATTCGTAAGAAAGGAAAGTTTTTTGCCATTTCTGAAGCAACGGCTGCTCCTACCTTGCCCAAAAACAATACAGCTCTTCTATAGAGCAGCACGGATCAAATGTAAAAAACTAGAAATCTCTACAATGTCTCGTTATTGAGATTTCTTGCTTGCTTGCTTGTTTGCTTACAGAAAGCGTATTTTACGATTTTCTCAGCAATGCCTCAATCAATTTTAAATCTGATTTTTGCAAAAGATGTAAAATTTCAGGCACAAACTTTTCTTTTGTGACCTTTTATAACCAATTTTGCTTTCTTTTCTCACAAAATGCGAAAAACTGATTTTTCAATCTGAACGAAACCAATAGATTCACACGTGAAAACGGTGTGAATATAAAAAGTTCCTTTGTTATAATTTTCATCAAACTCGAGTAATTAAGGTTCACTCGGATGGAAATTAATCTTTTTTAATGAACTTTTTAGTTTTTCTTTATTTTAATTATTTTTAAAAATGTCGCAATTAAGATAATGAATTTTGTTTTAATTTACTGGTTTGCTCTGTTAAGCAGAAACCACCAGATGCAACGCTGATAAGAACAAAAAAATGATTTTTCAATTTACGAGATTCACTGCAATTGCAATATTTAGATCAGTGGTGTTCAACCTTTTTTGTGCCACGGCGCTCTTGGTATTAAGCCATGACCAAAACCGCACACAGCATACGGTTCGAGAATATCCTAAATTTATTATTATGCCCGACACGAGTGTGCCGTAGCACATGGGTTTGCTATCACTGATTCAGATTATTAAAGTAATAAAAAATTAAATTTTAACCTCGTGGAAAAAATATTTTGATGGAAAATCAATGAAAATTTTGATTAGTAAATTTAAAAGAACAATAAAAATTGAAATCGTTTATTTTTTATTTAATTCACAAAAATAATTAATTTTTCTAGAGTTTTTTTTTATATAAAATAGAGCTTGAAAAGATGAATTTGAATTTTTTCAATACATTTATTTATATTTTAAATTTTTTTAAAAATATTATTTAAAATCATTTTTCATATTAAATTAATTTCAAGAGTGAAATTCAATAGAATTATTTTCAAATAATTAATAAAAAAAAATTTAAATTCCAAACAAAAATATTTTATTGTAGTTATTATTTTGAAAAATTATTCCAAGTTTAATGCAAATTGAAAATCTATCAAAAATTAAAATAGATTTTTTTAAAAAAAATTAAATCAAAAGAATGGAATTTTAAGTTTTTAAAACCTTTTTATTTTATTTTTCACTTTTTAAAATTTATATTAAAGATTTGATTACATTTTCTAGATCAGATTTTGAATAATATTTAAATAAAATGTCTAAAGGCTACAAACTTTTATTTGTCATGCATTTTTTTGAATGTTCTTTCTTCATTTATCAAAAGTTTTTTTAAATTTCACTTTTTTAAATTTTCGAATGAACTTTTGATATCAAAAAGAAAGAGCATTTGTGGGGCTCATGATAATTGACTTGCATGACTTTTAAAATAGTTTTTTATTTTAAATTAGTTTTATTGGTTCCATTTATTTTTTAAAATGTCTCAAAAAATATTTCAAAACTTTATTATTTATTTAAATTTATATTTTAGGCTAAAAAACTACAATTTTTCATTACAATACATTTTGTTGTGTTTGACGGGCTTAAAATCTAGTTTTTAACATTTTCTAATTGTTAAATGAAATCAATCACATTTAACTTAATTTAATCTTTTATTTAAGTTTTAAATATTTTTATATCCATTCACATTATTTTCAATCAACAATTTAAACAACAAATTTCACAAAAGCATTCAAAATTTTCACACAATACAAATTTTTATACAATTTTAATTTATTTAAACCCCCGCAAAAAAATCTCATTTCAATTCCAATCTAAAATCCCATTCGATGTATCACGCTTAACTATAGCTGCGTCATCTGGGTCTCATGCATCGTGTCAATTTGTCTGCCATTGCTGTCCATTTCCACAAAACCTTGACTACTTCCATTTCCAAATCGTTTTGTAATCTTTCGGAACCATCGGGGTAGAAAAATTAGTGAGAATGTTTCGCGGAATTGTCTTGACATCGTGCAGTAAAGGATGAAGTTTATTGAGGAATTGAGGAGGGCTAGGAAGTCCATCAAGTCACCTGAAAGTGGAATTTTAAATTATTAACTTTAAATTCAATGAATTTGGTTTATAGAAGTCAAGTAGAGTAGAGAAATACAAAAGTTTTGTGATTTTAATTCAAGTCTTTGATCCATAATTCAAGTTAACTTGAAGGACACTCTGGTCTTTGGCCAATAATCCAAGTCAAGTTGAGAGGTACTCTGATTTTTGGTTAATAATTCAAGTCAAGTTGAGAGGTACTCTGGTCTTTGGTTTATAATTCAAGCCAACTTGAGAGGTACTCTGGTCTTTGGTTTATAATTCAAGCCAACTTGAGAGGTACTCTAGTCTTTGGTTCATAATTCAAGTCAACTTGAGAGGTACTCTAGTCTTTGGTTAATAACTCAAGTCAAGTTGAAAGGTACTCTAGTCTTTGGTTTATAATTCAAGTCAAGTTGAGAATACTCTGGTTTTTGTTTTATAATTCAAGTCAAGTTGAGAGGTACTGTGGTGTTTGGCTCATAATTCAAGTCAAGTTGAGAGGTACTCTAGTTTTTGGTTAATAATTCAAGTCAAGTTGAAAGGTACTCTGGTTTTTGGTTAATAATTCAAGTCAAGTTGAGAGGTACTCTGGTCTTTGGTTTATAATTCAAGTCAAGTTGAGAGGTACTCTGGTTTTTGGTTAATAACTCAAGTCAAGTTGAAAGGTACTTTAGTCTTTGGTTTATAATTCAAGTCAAGTTGAGAGGTACTCTGGTTTTTGGTTAATAACTCAAGTCAAGTTGAGAGGTACTCTTGTCTTTGGTTCATAATTCAAGTCAAGTTGAAAGGTACTCTAGTCTTTGGTTCATAGTTCCATTCATGTTGAGAAATACTTTGTTCTTTGGTTCATAATTCAAGCCAAATTGAGAGGTACTCTGGTCTTTGGTTCATAATTCAAGTCAAGTTGAGAGGTACTCTGGTCTTTGGTTCATAATTAAAGTGGAGTTGAGATGTACTCTAGTTTTTGGTTAATAATTCAAGTCAAGTTGAAAGGTACTCTGGTTTTTGGTTAATAATTCAAGTCAAGTTGAGAGGTACTCTGGTCTTTGGTTCATAATTCAAGTTAACTTGAGAGGTACTCTAGTCTTTGGTTTATAATTCAAGTCAAGTTGAGAGGTACTCTGGTTTTTGGTTAATAACTCAAGTCAAGTTGAAAGGTACTTTAGTCTTTGGTTTATAATTCAAGTCAAGTTGAGAGGTACTCTGGTTTTTGGTTAATAACTCAAGTCAAGTTGAGAGGTCCTCTAGTCTTTGGTTCATAGTTCAAGTCAAGTTGAGAGGTACTCTGGTCCTTGGTTAATAATTCAAAAGCAAGTTCAAATGTACTCTGGACTTTAAATGCCAACCTAATTTAAGGGATACAAAGGTATTTGAATCTCAACTCAAGTCAAGTTGAGGGGTAAGAAGGTCTTTGAATTCTAATTTAAGTCAACTCGAATAGTTCAAAATTTTATAAATTCTATTTAGAATCGAGTTGAGAGGTACGCAGCTATTTAATCAAAAATTATTCAAATTTTAAATCTTACCCAATTTCTGATAGCAATAAAGATAAAAATCATGATGAAGAAGCGCCGAGAGTAATCCAGCCACTCCCTGTGGGAATTCAGTAATCAAGAATAACAAGAGAACAGCAATCAACATTCTAGTCGTGCGGTCAGCTTGCTTCTTCTTGGTCAGTAACTTTTCCGACATTTGATGATTTCCGATCAATTTTTCTTTCCTCTTTTTGGCCTCATAAAGTGCTCGAATGAGTTGAAGTGAAAAATAAGTCAACAAAATGCATGGAAGTAATTTGATTATGACTGAATAAACCCACAAGAATGCCTTGTCGTGCTGCTGATAGAATTTTGATGTATGAACGTAATATTTTGTGATTTTACGAATTTCCAAGCCAGTCTCTTCATTGATCAGTAAAACATCCGTCATATTTCCCTTAACTTCCGAGTTGTTGTAGGCATAAACATACATATCACTGCTAAACACCCCAAGGGTCATATAGTAAGGCAAACAAATAATTGGACTTATCACATATGACGCTGCAATCGCCCACATTGTACGTTTCATAATGGAATTCTTTCTATTTGGATGACAGACCGACACGTATCGCCAAAGGGCTAAAATTATTGTTAAAAATATCGAAACTGTGTGTGCTGTCTGGCTCAGCATCGCGTGGGTATAAATGTAATGTGCATAGCTGTATGTCAGTCTCTCCAGTCGTGTATTTAAATCAAATGCATAGTCAAAGGCATAAGGAACGTAAACGAGCATCACGAGAAAGTCTGAAACAGCGAGTGCTGCTAAAATGTAATTTATATGCGTCCTTAGTTCCTTTCGCGTTAAAACAATAAAGTTAAGGACGTTTGTGATGCATCCAAATATGCAAATGCACAGACTCAGCTTGAAGTGGATTCGATTGAAACTGCGGATGAGAAGAAGAAAAAATTGAGAAAATTAATTGAAAATTAAGATGATTGAAAATTAATTTATTCAAATTTTATGGATTGTAGTTGAATAATTGTAAGATTGATGAAAAGGGTATCATAGATTGGTTAAATAGGTGGAATGAGATGAGATCATTGACATGGTTGATACAATCTTCAAAGTTGAGTTATTTATTGAAAGGATTTATGAATATGGAGTTTTGCTTATTGATCTTAAAACTAGATGAATTGATTTAAAAATCAAAAATTGACTACAATCTGGAACAAATTCACCACAAAATAGAATAAATTTATAAAGAACTGGAATAAATTCACCACAAACTGGAAGAAATTCACCACAAACTGGAACAAATTTCACCACAAACTCGAATAAATTCTCCACAAACTTAAATAAATTCACCACAAACTTGTAAAATTTCATTATAAACTCGAATAAATTCACCACAAACTAGAACAAATTTACCACAAACTGGAAGAAATTCACTTTAAACTGGAACAGATTCTCCATAAACTCGAATAAATTCACCGCAAACTTGAACAAATTCACCACGAACTAGACCAAATTCACAAAGAACTGGAAGAAATTCACCACAAACTGGAATAAATTCACCACAAACTAGAACAAATTTACCACAAACTCGAATAAATTCACCACAAACTTTAACAAATTCACCACGAACTAGACCAAATTCACAAAGAACTGGAAGAAATTCACCACAAACTGGAAAACAAACTCACCACAAACTGGAAGAAATTCACCACAAACTAGAACAAACTCACCACAAACTGGAATAAATTCACCACAAACTGGAAAACAAACTCACCAAAAACTGCAATAAATTCACCACAAACTGGAAGAAATTCACAAAGAACTGGAATGAATTCACCACAAACTAGAATAAATTCACCACAAACAAGAATAAATTCACAAAGAAATGGAACAAATTCACCACGAACTGGAACAAATTCACCACGAACTGGAAAAAACTCACCACAAACTGGAACAAATTCACCACAAAAATTATTAAAAAAGAGAAATTAAATTGCACAATATTCTGAGAAAAATTGCTCACTCAAGCAAAACTCGCATCGATTTATTAATATTTTACATTGCAGCTTTCATATCCGTTCTCAAAGCGATCAACCCACACCTGCTCGGTATCAAAAGCTGCATATATATTGCTATCAATGAAGAGTATTAAATTTTGATTAATTTATGAAAATGGATCGACGAATTAATTTTTGAATTGTTTTACTGAGAATTCTTAAAGCTTCCTGAAACTTAAACTTGACGTAAAATCTACCCAAACCCCATCTCATGTCTAGTTCTATCCAGTGAAGATAATCATAATATAATTAGCAGTAATTGCAAGTCCAACTGAGCATTATGCATCACATGATGAAGTTTATGAAAGTAATTAAAATTAACAGAATCAATTTTACAGTTTGGCACATTATAAAGTCTACGACTGCTCATTTTAATTAAAAACTTTTAATGTGCATGAAAATTTTCATATTTTGTTGTTATTTTGAATGTGTTTTCATGACTTGCATGCTGTAAGAGTTAAATTTTTTTTGAAACGAGCGTGTTTTAGATGCAACAGTGTTTTTCAGGATGGAACAATGTCCAAGGGGAACATAACTTTGTGTAAAAAAATTATTTGATAAAAATTTGAAAGATTAGATCAAATTTTTGAGCATTTTTTCTACAATTTTTGTATTTTTTAATGGAGGGGGAACACAACATGATGGGGAATCGTTAAATTTATTGGAATCTCATTATTGATTTTTGTCTTATTTTGCTGGTTTCTTCTCAGAGTTTAACCTTTATGACCAGTAAATTTAGGAAGCAAATCGTAGAAAATCTTAATAAAATTACAAAATTTCCACAGAAAAACAATTTTGCTCAAAGCTAATCTCTCCTTTAAGTTCCAAATATTAGTAAGTTTTTGAATTGAAAAATCTATGTCTCATCAAGTGAATAAAGCAAAAAAGTCAAAAACTAGAAAAAAACATAATTTCGTGCGCTATATTTAGCGATAAACTCTAAAGTTTCTCCTTAAACCTGACAAACGATTTTTAAAAATCTAAAAATTAGCATTCGTGCATCATATTTTGGGTAGCCATTAAAGAAGTTCCATAAAAACTCCCGCAAACCATCAAAAAAAAAAGTTTGCATTCGTGTGTCATATTTTGTGCAGACAGTAATGTTTCCACCCATAAATGATGCACAATTTTAGAAAACCTATCAAAAATATGCAAATCATTCACCCTAAGGACACTTACCTCACCAAAGCTAGTTTATATGCACAAATTCAACAGCGCAATATTATAACAGAAACAATAAAAAAATCCAAAATGATGAAAGCTCACGCTAGTCATTAAAAAATTATTCTTTACAATATTGCTGATGAGCACGAGAACTAAAATTCTTTAGAAAATTTCTTCCATTGTCTTTAGTTAAAATATGTTTGCTGTGGTGTTGAATTTTGCAACAAAGAACGTTAGAGATGCTGTGCAATAAATTTTAGTTCTAGATTTTTGCTACGGTTACGGTTAAATTTATATAAACAGCACCTCCTCATATCATTGCTTCATTGTTTGCTATTAAAATTTCCTCCATTCATATGAAATTTATTGTCCTGATTGTTGAATTATTTTCATGCAAAAAATAGTAAACTCATCGAGCAATGAAATCAAAGCAGCTCATCAGCATGAGTTAATTAGCTTTTTAATGGATGTTGAATTTATTTTATGAAATTTAATTAATATGAATTTTTTTGTTGTAAAGTTGGGAAAATTTGGTCGCTATGGTGTTGAATTAAATTCGTTTTAATGGATTTATGCAAACTTAGCAGACTACCACTCTGGTTTCGATTGCCTGAGTCACCGGCTTGTTGCCAGCTTTAAATCAATCAACCAACTTGTGCCATTCGCGAATCAATCAAAAAAACACAAAATTCAGACTTACAAAGTGTGAAAATCATCCAATTCATTCTGACAAAATGAAAACTCTATCGTGTTATTCATCATGGATTCATCCATTGCCCTTGATTCCGATGTTGCATCAAAAGTTTGTCACAAAAGCAATTTCTTCTCGTCTTCCTTTCTGCTTTATCTTGTGATGATATCTAAAATGAAAAAAAGTTTTTAAAAGTGAATGAATATTTTTTTTTCAAACGAAATGGAAAATTAGTATTTTTGAGGTTATGTAAGGTATTTTTTTGCAATATTGGTGGAAATTCTTTGTAAAGTTATTATTCAAGATTCTTGTTGTGGAGGTTAAGAGGAAGATGTTTTCAAGTTTATCGAGGAAAAAATGAGTTTTTTGAGTTGTGGATTGTGAAAAAAAAGAAAATCTTTGAAAGTCAATTTGGTTGTGGTATCATTTGTAAGTCGTTTATGCTGATAAACATCTGCACCCTTGGATTTATTTTCCTATCCCTCCCTATCCCTCCCTATCCCTCCCTATCCCTCCCTATCCCTCCCTATCCCTCCCTATCCCTCCCTATCCCTCCCTATCCCTCCCTATCCCTCCCTATCCCTCCCTATCCCTCCCTATCCCTCCCTATCCCTCCCTATCCCTCCCTATCCCTCCCTATCCCTCCCTATCCCTCCCTATCCCTCCCTATCCCTCCCTATCCCTCCCCTATCCCACCCAACCCCACCCTAACCCCACCCAATCCCACCCAATCCCTCCCAATCCCACCCAACCCCTCCCAAACCCACCCTAACCCTCCCTATCCCTCCCAACCCTCCTTATCCCTCCCTATCCCTCCAATCCCTCCTATCCCTCCAATCCCACCCAATCCCTCCCAACCCCTCCCAACCCTCCCTATCCCTCCCAATCCCTCCCAAACCCTCCCTATCCCTCCCTATCCCTCCCTATCCCTCCCTATCCCTCCCTATCCCTCCCTATCCCTCCCTATCCCTCCCTATCCCTCCCTATCCCTCCCTATCCCTCCCTATCCCTCCCTATCCCTCCCTATCCCTCCCTATCCCTCCCTATCCCTCCCTATCCCTCCCTATCCCTCCCTATCCCTCCCTATCCCTCCCTATCCCTCCCTATCCCTCCCTATCCCTCCCTATCCCTCCCTATCCCTCCCTATCCCTCCCTATCCCTCCCTATCCCTCCCTATCCCTCCCTATCCCTCCCTATCCCTCCCTATCCCTCCCTATCCCTCCCTATCCCTCCCTATCCCTCCCTATCCCTCCCTATCCCTCCCTATCCCTCCCTATCCCTCCCTATCCCTCCCTATCCCTCCCTATCCCTCCCTATCCCTCCCTATCCCTCCCTATCCCTCCCTATCCCTCCCTATCCCTCCCTATCCCTCCCTATCCCTCCCTATCCCTCCCTATCCCTCCCTATCCCTCCCTATCCCTCCCTATCCCTCCCTATCCCTCCCTATCCCTCCCTATCCCTCCCTATCCCTCCCTATCCCTCCCTATCCCTCCCTATCCCTCCCTATCCCTCCCTATCCCTCCTTATCCCTCCTTATCCCTCCCTATCCCTCCTTATCCCTCCTTATCCCTCCCTATCCCTCCTTATCCCTCCTTATCCCTCCCTATCCCTCCCTATCCCTCCCTATCCCTCCCTATCCCTCCCTATCCCTCCCTATCCCTCCCTATCCCTCCCTATCCCTCCCTATCCCTCCCTATCCCTCCCTATCCCTCCCTATCCCTCCCTATCCCTCCCTATCCCTCCCTATCCCTCCCTATCCCTCCCTATCCCTCCCTATCCCTCCCTATCCCTCCCTATCCCTCCCTATCCCTCCCTATCCCTCCCTATCCCTCCCTATCCCTCCCTATCCCTCCCTATCCCTCCCTATCCCTCCCTATCCCTCCCTATCCCTCCCTATCCCTCCCTATCCCTCCCTATCCCTCCCTATCCCTCCCTATCCCTCCCTATCCCTCCCTATCCCTCCCTATCCCTCCCTATCCCTCCCTATCCCTCCCTATCCCTCCCTATCCCTCCCTATCCCTCCCTATCCCTCCCTATCCCTCCCTATCCCTCCCTATCCCTCCCTATCCCTCCCTATCCCTCCCTATCCCTCCCTATCCCTCCCTATCCCTCCCTATCCCTCCCTATCCCTCCCTATCCCTCCCTATCCCTCCCTATCCCTCCCTATCCCTCCCTATCCCTCCCTATCCCTCCCTATCCCTCCCTATCCCTCCCTATCCCTCCTTATCCCTCCCTATCCCTCCCTATCCCTCCTTATCCCTCCCTATCCCTCCCTATCCCTCCCTATCCCTCCCTATCCCTCCCTATCCCTCCCTATCCCTCCCTATCCCTCCCTATCCCTCCCTATCCCTCCCTATCCCTCCCTATCCCTCCCTATCCCTCCCTATCCCTCCCTATCCCTCCCTATCCCTCCCTATCCCTCCCTATCCCTCCCTATCCCTCCCTATCCCTCCCTATCCCTCCCTATCCCTCCCTATCCCTCCCTATCCCTCCCTATCCCTCCCTATCCCTCCCTATCCCTCCCTATCCCTCCCTATCCCTCCCTATCCCTCCCTATCCCTCCCTATCCCTCCCTATCCCTCCCTATCCCTCCCTATCCCTCCCTATCCCTCCCTATCCCTCCCTATCCCTCCCTATCCCTCCCTATCCCTCCCTGAGGATCAAAATCAACAAAACAGTTTCACCAACAAAGCTCATCAGTCAGAAGAAGTCCAACATGACACCATATTTATTTTTATCACACAGAAAATAAAAAAATGTTGGCAAAATTGAGTCGTTAAGTGCGAAGAAGACAATAAAAGCCACTGAAAAGTCACAAACATGAGAAAAAATGTGTGAAGAATTGGCATGGAATAAAAAGAGGACAAAAAGGTACTCGACAGGTGTTGAAGTGCCGACAATTATGGTTGGCTTTTTTTTGGATGGTAAACGGAACGATAAAGTGGAAAAAATGGTAATTTTTTGGAAAAAAAATTCTATTTTTGGGTTTCTAGAAATATCTAATATTCATAAAGTTTATCAGCGAGAGAACCAACTTTAAGGGTTAGTTTTGGATTATTTAATAAGTTTCAAACCCCTTAAATGGCTGATGATGACGTAAAGCTGCACAAGATTTTCATTTGTTTTCGAAATTCATCTCTTTTGCGATTAACGATGCTTAAAGTATGAAACAATTCAGATAAAAATTAAATTTTTTTCTTCTCTTTTATCTTCACGAGTTTTGTACTTTTCGGTGAGTATTCTTTTGTCTTAATTTGAGTTTGCGGAACGTCAAAGGAAAGAGTTTTGAGAGCTTTTTATTTTTTTTGTTGAATTGTTGCACGTGTTATGAGGGTTTGTAAGGTAGAAGGTGGATGAGATTGTGATGTCTGATTTATAAGAATATTTAAAGATTTTTGAAATTGTGCGTCATATTTAGGGAAAAGTTTAAAGTTTTCCTCTGAATATTATGCACGACTTTTGAAATCTTAAGCATGTCATTTACATCATTTTATGAACTTCAGCCAATCTTAATCCTCTTTTTAAATGTCATTCCCGACTCCAGCTATCATTCCCCCATTGTGAAATTTCCTTTTATCTTCTTATTCACAGCCAATTCAACAGGACGACAATAAAACCTGTCAAATGCACAAAAACAGTTTCTAACAATACAAGAAAAAATAGATAAAATTGATAAATGTCAGAAAATTTTTATGAAAGTACAAAGAGACAATAACACGGATGAGCAATTCAAGTATCATTAAATGACTAAGAGTACGGTGAGCAATTTATCTATATGACCTTGATACCATAAAGAAAAATCACGTGCTGTCTTTTATCGCGCACGTTTTGAAATTTTCGTCTCATTTTGTATTTAATTGAATGTTGTATTCGGTGCGACTTTTAAATTAAAGTCAATATTCGGGGAGCAACTGTAATGTCTTCTCAAAAAATAGCGCACGTTTCAAAATTTATCATTTTTTCTAGCAAAATTCATTCAAGTTTGTGAGAACATAAATAAATCATTCACAAAAGTCATCAAATCATTCATAAAAAAGAGTTTTTAGCATAATAAATGTCCCCATAAAAATCCCATAAATCCGACAAGTATCATAGAAAATTCAATAAAACACGACTCGTGCGTGGAAGAGGCAACATTAACCAAAAAAAAATTATTGAAAAATTCCACAAAAAAGAAGAAAAAGTCAGCAAATTTCTCTCATCGGTCACGTTTGACTTTTCCGCTTATTTTCGTCATCACATTTCATTCTCAGTTTTTTGTTTACTTTCAAAAGTATTTTATTTTCCTGCTCGTTCGAGCTTGGCGGAAATATTGATTGAAAAATGAAGTAAAAAGTTTATTTCTACTCGACTGTATCCAGTCGAATCAAGAAAGGTTTTTAGAAAAAATTGTTTAAATTTCTTCGACTGTTTACAGTTTAGATTCATTCATGGGAAGTTGCACAGTAAATAAATATGAAAATTTAATTTGAGGACTTTAAAAGACATTTTGTAGCTGTAAAGCTTGGCTTATTTGTGAGATGCTCAAGTTTCACTCTAGCATCTTTAGCTCAGTTCTAGCTCAGCTCTAGTTCAGCTCTAGATCAGCTCTAGCTCAGCTCTAGCTCAGCTCTAGATCAGTTCAAGCTCAGTTCTAGCTCAGCTCTAGCTCAGCTCTCGATCAGCTCTAGATCAGCTCTAGATCAGCTCTAGCTCAGCTCTAGCTCAGCTCTAGCTCAGCTCTAGCTCAGCTCTAGCTCAGTTCTAGCTCAGTTCTAGCTCAGCTCTAGTTCAGCTCTAGATCAGCTCTAGATCAGCTCTAGCTCAGCTCTAGCTCAGCTCTAGATCAGTTCAAGCTCAGCTCTACCTCAGCTCTACCTCAGCTCTAGATCAGCTCTAGCTCAGCTCTAGCTCAGCTCTAGATCAGTTCAAGCTCAGTTCTAGCTCAGCTCTAGCTCAGCTCTAGATCAGCTCTAGCTCAGCTCTAGCTCAGCTTTAGCTCTAGCTCAGCTCTAGTTCAGCTCTAGATCAGTTCAAGCTCAGTTCTAGCTCAGTTCTAGCTCAGCTCTAGCTCAGCTCTAGCTCAGCTCTAGCTCAGCTCTAG